AGCTCCCGCAAGGTGGTGACCATTCTTCGGATTTCTGCGTGAAGATTACAGAGTCGGTGTCAAAATACAGGACCCTTTCGCCAAGCTTCTCCAGGTACTCGTATAGTACCAGACGGGCATTGGCTGTGGTGTAGGCTGCCAGTACAACGTTTGTGGTTTTCAATGGCTCGACTGCTTCTTCGGGGAGGGTCCAGTTGACGATGAGGGTCTCGTCGTTTACGGGAATGATGGAGTTGACTTCCATGGACGGATCCGTGAGCATCTTGAAGAATTCTTCAGCCTCCGAGATGATGCTCGTCTTCGACAGATTGTCGCGCTGGCCAAACTTTCCCCAAAAGGAATTGAGGAATAGTTTGGCGATATAGCGGAGACCAGCGTTCACTTCAATCTTGCTCCGATCAAGTTGAATCCCCTCATGCTCCATGTAGTCGGCTAGATACTTCATACATGCCTCTTCGGAAAGACACCAGGATGGCCATCCACTGCATTCCTGTTTTGTTTTCAGGAAATTGTCCACATAACCGGAGAATAAACCGCCGGTTTTCGACTCACGGTTGTATTGGGTTGTCTCATACTCCCATACTTCGTGCAATTCCTGAACGACATAACCCAAGGAGATGGCTTTCCGTAGTTCGTCGGCTACGTAAGTGCCAGTGAAACGTCGGTCCTCATCATCATTGTGCTCACACTCTCCTTGATTCATTGTTTCGCAGCATGTACGGCATAGCGGGAACATAAGTTTACCATGGCATCTGTATGGTAGTACGGGATGATACAAGTTTTGCGGAGGAAGGACAGTGCACTTAACCATGCCCTCTATGGTGTTCAAGTTGCAGGAGTGAAGTTCTTCGGGCGTAACAAGTACTCGAGGATGGCCCAAAGGATACTTCCCATACTTGTTTACGTAGGGGTAGAGGGAACACACGTCCAAATACCTGATTTCTTCCCCTTCTTCGGCCTTGTGGTATAGCTTGATGGCATTTGTCCGACCTCCAAAGAAGCCATCGCGAGGATTCAGAGGCTCGTGTCTTAATACATTATGGCCATTCAGTAAAGCGTCGGTCTCTGGGTTGTTTGTTAAATATGTGCGGAATTCACACTCCCACATTTCAATTAAATTGTAGCCTGCAGTACGAATGCGTGATGAAGTGGCTTCGGTTTTTTCACGCCGCATTGCCATTGTGTCAGACTTGTTCCCTTTCAGTGGTGTCGTCTGGTCGGAGTAACATGACTCACAACCGTGAAAGTAGCAACCATGAAACTGGTACACGGTGTTCGTAGCTGCGGAGTATCCGTCGACAAGGATTCCCTCCTTTAGGCGAACTTCTCGAGAGTTGCCAGCGTGTTGAAGATCGGGAACATCAGTGGTTTGTAGATGAATCAGCCATTTGATGGCTGTCCGACTTTGATTATCGGCCATCCTGTACCCTCCATGTGGAATGAGGCCGATCGTCTCCTCTTGAAGGAAGTTTCTCCGGAAGACCAGACTGCATGCAGAGGCAATAGTGCAACACTCGCGGAAGGGGTCCACCTTGTTCTCCTCGGAAAATTTCTGCCAGAACTCCCCGCACGCCTGCCGTAAGATATTGACGTCTTGGACACAATATTTTACAATCTCCTCCTTAAAATTGAATATAGCGTTGCGGTTCACTTCTGCATTGTACCATTTGAAGAAATCGTCGCGATTTCTTTCAGACATTTCGTCGACTCCATAAAAATGTGGGGAGGGGAGTGGGCCAATGTAATTAGCATTTTCCAGAGTATTGAAGAAGTGTGGGAAGTGTCCTTTACACCCAGGGAAACTGAACGTTTTCGGTAGAGCACTTAATGGGACAGGCATAAAGTTCAAACTGTCAATGAACCTAATGTTGTTGTTACATGCCAGCGACGTAATCTTTGTACCCGTAGCGATAATGTCAGGATTCCATGCCGAAGGAGTTTTCATCATTTCCTTCAAGATGAAGATACTATCGTACCCTTTGCTGTTGTGAGCGATAGCCACGACGTCACGATTCTTACGAGCCAGGGAGGACACGAGTTTTAAAAGTTCATTCACGGGGTCTTCTTTGAATATATGTTCGCGGGGACCACAGTTATCACAAGGGACGTTGATGTCTGTATTATTTGTGATGCACGATTTGCAGAGCTGTTGAGCGACGCACAAGTTGGGAACGTGGACGTACGTGTTGGCGCGATTTTCGAATTGGTCGTCTTGTCGACACTCAAAGTCATAGAAAACAAACACAAAGTCTTTGTTCATCTTCTTTTTATCGGGGGTATTCTTCGCCATGTAGCACAAATGGCGTATTGGTCGGTCAGCTTGACATGTAACACATTTCTTGATACCGCACTTGTGTGGCTTTTTCTCCTTCCACACCGTAACCAAACACGTACGACATCGACGCACTTTCGCGCACAATTCCTGGTCTTTATGATGACGAAAGCACTCAAGGCCGCGGAAATCACGGTTACACACCTCGCACTTAATGTTCGGAGCATCCTTGTTGCACGGAGGACTAGTGTGACAACAGGGGCAAATGTACTTACAGTCTTTATGATGTTGTCGTTTACTCATGCGAACCCGACACAGCTCACAAAAGTACTCGCACGTGAACGCTGACGTTAAACTGGTGATTACGTTGTAGTGCTCGTTTTCCATTATCAGATTCAGTACTTGACGTTGTGGAGATCGTGGACCCTCAAAGTACACTGTTTTTCCCATACGGTGATTGTATACTACGATGGTGAAGTCGGTGAGATGATCCTGGAACTGACGTATGTGATCAATGGTACCGCCAGCCGATAAATCCACGCCAGCAGCTGCACATAGTTGAAGAGCCTTAGTCTTCTGAAGACTATGCCCGACTTTCAGGTAGGGTAGCTCTATGGAGTTGGTCCGGAAAGCTATGGCGGTTACGAGGGCTCGAGCGAGGCACAAAGTGTCATCGTTGTTGATGATGATGATTCCACGTTTTTGCCGTGAGAACTCCGCGAAGCTGACCCCGGTCATTCTTTGACGTCCTTTACCACTGGGTGGGGTAATCAGACTTACATCAACTCGTAGTGCATCGCTGGAGAAGAACGCCTTGTTACTCTGCATAACTTTATCCAGAGTCTTCAGCATAACGTCAGCATTCAGCTGATCTACACGACGGAACGAGAAACCAAGAGGATTGTCGGGGAACTCGCTATTTGTCAGCATCATACCAATACGGTCACTCCCACTATGCCTCTTAGTTACGTAATTGATAAGAGCTGTCAGTGATTTCTGAAACAGAAAACTTCAGTTAAGTTTAGTTTAATAAAATAGCTTTGTATGCATACCTTAAGCCATTCTAAAGGTGCTTCATTGGCTTCCGCATTATTAAACTTGATCATCAGTTGCTGGGCTGTCAAGTTGAATTTTTTTATGTACCGCTCACCCTCTGACAACACAGAGAAGCGATGAGGAACTCCACGACCAACTTGCGGTGGTGATGGTTGCAGACCAGAGGTCAATGTAACAGAGTTAAGCTGCAAAGAAGTTAACAATTAAAGTCATTGTTTTAGAATAATTAAAACAAAACTTACATTATTTACACAGGGCGCTACAGATGTGGCTGGTTGTAGTCCCGATGTTGATGGTTGAGGGTTAAGAATCTGTAAAGACGTTATCATTTAGAACTTGCGCACTTGAAAATTATTATTCAACTTACATTATTTACACACGGAGCAGCACGCTTTCGCTTAGGCTTTGCATGGGAAGACGAAACGGAAGGTCGGGGTGGATGCTGTAAGGAAATGTGCAATTAAAATATGAAACAACTTTTAAAATTAAAGTAAACTTACTTTCACACAGAGGTCGAGGGGCTGCGATTGGGGTTTGTAGGCGTCAGGGGAAGACGGTAGCGGTGGATGCTGTAATGAAATTTACAATTAAAATATGAAACAACTTTACAAAAATAAAATGAACTTACTTTTACAGTGAGATCAAGGGGCTGAGATTGCTCTCCTTGAAGATGATGGATAGTGGGTGACGGAACTTCATTCTGTACAAATAAACAACATTTAGAAAACGAAACTTTAAAAATTAAATAAACTTACTTTCACACAGAGGTCGAGGGGCTGCGACTGCGGATTGTTTGCTATAGCAGCAACGTGATGGGAATTCTACAAAGAAATTTATATTTAGAAATTTATAAGTGTACAAATATTAAAAACTTACCACATTTTGTTGAAGCAGGCGCGTTTGTATTGCCCCAACTGCTTCGCGAAGACGCCTGAAGCGTTCAATGTCTGCGGCGTCGGGAGTTACCTCCCCGGAAGTTACCATTCGGAGCATATAATAATATGCCTCCACCATATCGTCTTCCGACAGAAGACCACTCTCAAAAACACGACACAACAACTTGAAATGGGCGGCCATTGCAGAAATTTATGCACAAAAACTAAACACTCACAATAAAAACACGCAAAGCACGAGAAAACACGTACGTACAGATGTAAGAACGCAAGTAATTTCGAGTCACGAACATAAGCTTTTTTATATCAGGTCAGGTCAGGTAAAACAGAATCCGCCCCCTTCCGAACATTGCCGAACGTTCTATTGTTCGCCTAAAACCGGTTTTACGCTTGATTAAACACGATCTATTGTTTAAAATGCATGACTCATAACCCGCTAAACCTGTTTTCCACATGAATAACCATATCTTTTGTTTTGTGGCCGTCTTTATGGCACCACATCAATCATTTCTTTTGTTTCTACATCCGGTTACATGGGAAAGCACTTAGTTCACACTGGGCGTATAAGTGTTTTCTTTTTGTTCAGGACACCTGCACAAGTATGACTCATAACTCGCTAAACCTGTTTTCCGCATGAATAGCCACATCTTTTGTTCTGTGGGTGACTTTATGGCACCACATCAATCAATTTCTATTGTTCGCAATATGACTCATCGATTTGGTATTTTGATTTAATTCGCGATTATAGTGACGTATTAGATTTACAGTTACGCGCAGTTTATAAAAGCTACTGTGTGTGACGACTCGTTCTCATTTGTGTTCAGTTCAGTGTCCAACGTGTTATTGTGTCAGCGTCCAAGTTTATTGCAAAAGTTACAAGTAAGTTCAACCCTCTTTATTTTTCCTAAATTGGTTATTAAATAATTGTAGGAATTTGTTTTCTAATTTTACTTTTTATTACAGATCATGTCTTCATACAGTAAACCTTATTCTCGTCCATCAACAAACCCCAGAGATCCTCGTACTGCTGAAAAGTTGTCGACGACACTCAATTACTACAAGCCTATTGCATCATTGCCAGAATTCTGCTACACAGAGGATGATCACCGAGCATTCGACAGGGATGTTATGAAGGAATACAACATCTCATCTTACAATAATCCAGTGCCCAGACACGAAGATTTCTGTTTATCAACACAAGACCGTAAGCGCATACATAACAAGTTTATGGATAAAGAACGACAGCAATTACTCAGTGAGTCGACATTTAATCTAAATAATAGTGGATCCAAAATCCTGAAAGTGGGTCTAGACGTATTTGAAGATTGCCCCTGTGTCAAGATACAAGGCAAGGATCGGAGCATATATTTTTCAAAGAGTGCATTCGAGAGTTTTTTAAGCGAATTAGAAGACATCGCCGGAGCAGTAAAGTGCGAGGAAGAAGAAGAAACTTTCGATCTAGAAGATTTTCATGTACGGTGCTGCAGAAAATATAAAGCTGCGCGTATCATTTCGAAGAAAGAAATCCACTGTGAACTGTACTTGGGACTCGTCACCCTGGAAAAAGTGATCGCTATGGCAGACTACTTACGTCAGAAGCTTAATTATTTGGGTAATTATTTGGAAGGTAATGATTGTCCTTTCAAAAACTTTGTAGAAAAAGTTGTGGACATTCTGGATAGACGTCAGCAAAAAGATGTGAGTTATAACGATTTGTTAGTAAATTTAACTGATGAACCTTTAGTTATACATGAGTTAGTCCATAAGTATCCGTATTTTGTGATTGATAAGATAGAGGATTATATGCAAACTTATGATGATAGGTTCTTGTACAAATAAATGTAAATAAATATAAATGTAAGTTCTACATTCTTTTAATCAGTTTGGTGTTATACTTCGAGGCATTAAAATGGAAAATAAATTTCTTCATCCATTTTCCGCTCTTGTAAGTGGCCCCAGTGGATCGGGAAAGAGTTATTTTATTGTAAACTTTCTAAAAAATATAACAAACATCTGCTCTGTAGTGTTTGAAAAAATAGTTTGGCATTACGGGGAATGGCAGTCATTGTACGAAGATCTAAAAGGTGTTGAATTCCATCAAGGCTTACCCGATATGTCCAGTTTCGACGGCTTAAAACCTGTACTGATAATTATTGATGATTTAATGCGTGAATCAAATGGAGCTATTGTTGACATTTTTACAAAAGGATGTCATCATCGTAACCTCAGTGTTTTCTTTCTAACCCAAAACATATTTCATCAAGGAAAAGGACAGAGAGATATATCTTTAAATGCACACTACATTATTTTATTCAAAAATCCCCGCGATCGGGCACAAATAAAACATTTAACGCGACAAATTTGTCCTGAAAATTCCAAATTTTTAGAAGAAGCGTATAATGATGCAACGTCTAAACCCCACGGATATCTGTTATTCGATTTAAAACAAAGTACACCGGATGTTTTCCGCTATAGAACATCGATATTTGAAGAAGATGGCGCTTGTGTGGTATATATACCAAAAAAGGGTATTAAAGGTTTGAATCTTGAGCAATTGGTACATTCATAATGGTTTCAAAGTTGACGAAACATTCCGAGTTGCTTCGTGCTCTCTCAAAATTGGGACCAAAGGAGCGGTTAGCGTTGATAAAATGTTTGGACGACAATCAAATTGAATGCATATGTGAGTGTATTTACAACACTTTAAAAGGACAAGTCGATTTGACCGCTGATCAGAAGCGAAGTCTCGCTCGTCATAAAACCATCTTACGGCGTATGGTAACGCCCCGTGAAAAGATAAAAAAGAAGAAACAGATACTAATTCAAAACGGAGGTGCATTCTTGCCATTTGTGCTAGGGCCGTTACTTGGCGGCTTACTCGGAAGTCTTTTTCAATAATCATGGAACACGCAAAGAAAATGTTACTCGTACCGCAGGAATTTATGCAGCGAATTAAAGCAAATGAAACTAGGAAAGACGATGTTTTATCGCAAATTGATGACGAAATGTCACAAGTATTAAATTCTAAGTTGTCTTCATATGAAAAGTGGCAACAGTATTCTCAAGTTTTACAGAAATATTTACATTTTTCGGAACAAATGCGAAAACCTGTAAGCATAGCAATTGAATCGAAGCCTACAGGAATATCAGAAGATGAAATAATAGCCTCAATTCCACAAACTTTTAAGAAAAAAGCCGAAAGTTTTCTACGAATACTCAACGCTTCGGGTGATATTTTATGGGACAATAGAGGAATTGTCACAATAAAAGGCGAAGTAATCCCGTCATCGAATATTATCGACTTAATACACGACACAATAAGACCGCGTCAATCAACAAATCCAGAAGGTGGCCGACAGTTTGCAGAATTCGTCAAAGAAATTAATGTTCCTCAAGAATTTATTGGCAAAAAACAAAGTGTTGTAAAAACCGAAGACATTATTTCGAAACGACCAAAAATTACCGTGAATCCCGATCAAGACGTTGCTGCGAAACGGACGAGAAGTGCACTTAAGCAACCGGATACGAGGAAGCGTTCCAAAAGTTCTGGTGGGCTACAGCGAGGTGGATGGAACACCGAAAACCCAAAAATTTCTAAACGATTGCATATTCCCGGATGGAAAACCTTTAAACTTTAAGTAGATGGAAAGCATATATTATGATCCTTCACATCCTGCCGGATTCGGTGGAGTTTCCTCCTTGTCTTCAGCGTTAAAAAATAGATATTCAACTGAGGATGTAAAAGCATGGTTACAAAAACAAGAAGCATATACTGTGCACAAGCCCGTTAAAAGAAAATTTCAACGCAACAAATACATAGTTAACAACATGTTTGAATTATGGCAAGCCGATCTTTGTGATATGAGAAGCCTAGCGAAAAACAACAGAGGCTATAATTACATATTAACGGTCATTGACGTATTCAGTAAGAAAGCATGGGCAAGACCTCTCAAGCAAAAAAGCGCAAATTCTATAATTGAGGCGTTTTCGTCCATTTTTGAAGAATGTGACAATACACCTGAAAATATACAAACTGATAAAGGAAAAGAGTTTGTGGCAGCAAGCGTACAACAATTTTTTAAAAAATACAATATAAATTATTATGTAACCCATAATCCCGACGTAAAAGCTTGCATAATCGAACGGCTGAATCGCACATTAAAGACGAAAATGCACCGCTACTTTACATATAAGAACACATTCAAATACGTGGACGTTCTACAAGATTTGGTGTCTGCATATAACAAATCCTATCATTCTTCGATCAAGATGGCGCCTGATGATGTGAACGAAGAAAACATTTTGAAAGTTTGGCAGAACCTCTACGCGAAGGGTTTTGGTAAAGAAACTCGACCTATATATAAAGTGGGACAACACGTGAGAATCACCAGAACCAAATATCATTTTGAAAAGGGATATGAGAGTAACTTTAGTCAAGAGGTGTTTAAAATTATTAAAGTTATAAAGAGACGTCCGCCTGTGTACAGAATAGTGGATTTAAGCGGTGAAGATATAGAAGGGACTTTTTATGAGGAAGAACTGCAGGCTGTTACGATAGACGAAGATACAGTATTTAAAATTGACGAGATTTTGGAAGAAAAAGGGAGAGGAAAAAACAAAAAATATTTAGTGAAGTGGCGAGGTTATAGTGACAAATTCAATTCTTGGATTTCTGCGGCAGAACTCAAAAACATATAAAAATGGAAGAAGAATTCTACATTACGCTGTTAAGCAATAGTTCGCTCGATTATTTTCCCAACAATACAACTTCACACTTTGTTACACAGTTGCCAAAGCGTATAAGATTAAGTGGTAATTGGTCCGTCGGGATAGCCGAAATACAATATCCTTGTGCGTTTGCGTCAATGAAACTGACAATTTAATTTACTACAGAGATGCGCCAATAACAGATTTTCCGTTAAATAAAGTTTTAGAAAGTGCAGCGACATTTTTCCGTAATAATCTCGGAACGTCTATGTATAAAAACGGCGGTTGGTACGTGATCAAACTTGATGCTGGTAATTATGAAAACATTGAAGATATTCTTAAAGAAATAAACAATCACGAAAATTTAGGAAAGTTAATCACAATCAAATATTACAAGATCACAAAACGTGTGGCGATCGCATTTAGGACGCCTCTCTCCGTACTGGGATTTTCCCAAAGGTTAGCTTTACAGCTTGGGTATCGTCCAGAACAGAATGTAGTACGCGATTCCATACCCCCGCATCCTGCAAGTATTTGGTCAGGCGTGCCCTCACAGATGTTCATTTATTGTGATATTGTGGAGCCGCAAATCGTAGGAGATGTGTTATCACCACTAATGAGAATAGTTAACATTACCGCCGAAAATTACATTTATGGAAGTCATAAAGATGTAGTGTTTTCACCGTCACACTATATGCCCGTGATGACGAAAGAGTTTGAAAATATCGAAATACATATAAGGACGGATACAGGCGCTCCTATGCCATTCGAGTTTGGAACATTGAGTTTAAAGCTTCATTTTAAGAAATGGACTGCCCATATCAACAATACTACGTAAATCAAGCGGGCTCGGGTATCGGTACGATTTATAGAGGTTCGCCGTACCAAAGAGGTCATGGAATAGGAAGCTGGCTGGGCGGAGTGTTTCGTTCCATATTACCTTTGTTTAAATCGGGAATGCGAGCTGTGGGAAAAGAAGCTTTAAGAACTGGTGCAAATGTACTAGGTGACATAATTGAGGAGAAACCAATTAAAGCAGCGTTTCAAGAACGAGTTCAGGAAGCAGGAAGAAACCTTAAACGAAAAGCCGATGACAAAATTGATACATTAATGCACGGATCTGGTTATAAAAGACCACACATGATCGATTACGGTCAGTTCAAAATTGCTACGGAGAAGAAAACTACACGTCCGAAAAAAGCTCCTAAACGCAAAGTTGTCAAACCAACATTCAGTGACATTTTCTCAAAGAATGGCATTCTTTCACGCACAGTCATGTGAATGCATCAAATCTGAGTTGGATCTGTTTGCACTTCCTGCAACACAAACCAGTATCGAAGGTGGGGAATGGGTGTTTTACAAGCCTTTATCATCACTATCAGACGAAGCGCCTATTGAATTCGTGGTCCCCGGAAATGGAAATGATTACCTCGATTTAAGCCACACAATGCTCTACGTTACGGCGAAAATTGTAAAACAAGATGACGCGACTTTGGGTGCGGAAGATGTTGTAGCGCCTGTCAACAATTGGCTGCATACGTTGTTCAGTCAAGTGGAAGTATGTTTGAATCAGAAATTAGTGTCACCACCGAGCAATACTTATGCGTATCGTGCATACATTGAAACTCTATTGAATTATGGCTCTGAAGCCAAAGCAACTCATCTGGGGTGTTCACTATGGCACAATGATACTCCGAAGCAAATGGATACATTAACAGCTGATAACAAAGGTTTCGCTATTCGTCAAAATACCACAAAGCTCGGTAAAATGGTGGAAATGGTTGGTCATGTGCACGCGGACTTATTTAATCAAGAAAAGTTTCTCATGAATGGAGTTGAAATGAAAGTAAAATTTGTTCGAACAAGAGACACCTTTAGTTTAATGGCTGCTACTGGTTCAACATACAAAGTGAAAATTGTGGATGCCAGTTTACTGGTTAGAAGAATGAAGATTAATCCTGTAGTTCTTCTTGCGCACACAAAAGCATTAGAAACCACTGCAGCCAAATACCCTATTACTAGATCGGATGTGAAGGTGCTAACGATTCCCGCAGGTGTGCAACGCAAATCATTGGATAATGTCTTCCTTGGACAACTACCAAAACGCTGCATAATTGGTTTTGTGTCCAATAAAGCGTTTAACGGAGAATACGCTTCCAATCCCTTCAACTTTCATCATTACAAGATTAATTATATGTCTCTGTACATTGATGGGCAGCAAATTCCATCAAAACCGTTACAACCAGATTTCACTCAAGAAGGATTATACGTAAGGGCCTACCACACTTTATTTTCTGGAACTGGAATACATTTTTTGAACGAAGGAAATAACGTATCACGTTTAGACTATCCGCACGGATACTGCCTAATGACTTTCGATTTAACGCCGGATTTATCCGCAAACGCCACAACTCATTGGAACTTGGTAAAGAACGGTTCTCTTCGTATCGAAGTTGGTTTCCAAGACGCGCTGACTGAGATGGTGAATTGTCTCGTGTACGCAGAATTTGACAACGTTATTGAAATTGATAAACATCGAAATGTCATCGCAGACTTTAACATTTAAAAAAGTTTCTTTTGACGAGTCCCGGAATACAGTGCGTTACATAATTGCATGGCCACATGCTCATCATCAAGCTAGAAAAGGACCTTGGATGCAGTACGCCAGGGATACCGTACGTTTCCAAAGACGCATTCATCAACTTGATTACATCATTTCCCCTGTGTTGGAAAAAAAGCTACTGCGCAGCGCATGACAGAAGGGATAAAATTATAATACTTTATTACGGATCCTCAGTTTATTAGAAAATGTTTCATGTGATGGATGCCTACGTTGATTTTCAAGGATTCCGCGGAAGCTTAAAGGAATTCATTCCGAAAGAAATATCTATCGTTTCGTCGGAGGGACCTAGTTGCACAACTCTACTGATGAAACCACCCGTCAATTATACTGTAACCTCATCGATGAAAAAAGAAATCAAATTCTTAGAAGACTGTTATCATGGCTTGAAATGGAATTCCGGGTACATTACGTTCGAGAACTTTGAAGAAGAACTACGCACGTTACTTCAGCCCTTCAATAGAATATACGTAAAGGGAGTGGAGAAACAATACCTACTGAATTTCCTTGACAAGTTTGTAATTAATTTAGAAGACGTGGGTTGCCCTTCGCTAAAGAAGTTAAAGAAAAGTCATAGCGGTGTAAGGTGCCTCAATCATGTGGAGAACACGCTTATGTGCGCTCAAGAAAATGCCTTAATATTACACGAGTGGGCGCAAATTGATTCATCAAATGAATACCCTAGAACTTCAACGAGCGTTGAATCTGATTCAGAAGAAGGCTGCGCGTGCTGTTTTCGCATCAGATGAACTTATACGAGCAAGTGTACGTCGGCCATTTGCTGCAATTGTCAATACAGATGTTTCAACACGCACAGGGCAACACTGGAACGGAATTTACATAGATGAAGATGGAAATGGAGAATATTTCGATTCATTCGGACGACCACCTACCGGATTACATTTAAAATTTTTGAAAAAACACGCCCGGAAATTCACCTTTAATTCGCGAGTGCTGCAGC